ACAGCTCATTTCCCGGGGCCTAGGGCACAGGGAGAACTCCACTCTTCTAAAACAGGAAGGAAAGGAAACCACGAGGCAGTTTCCAGCCAGGAGTGCCACAGGCACAGCCTTCCTCCCACCACCAAAGGGGACAGAGTGTCGAGGTGCAGCAGTCGCAGGAGCATCTACCACTACAACGAAGTGGAAGAAAGCCTGTACTCCTGAGAAAGAAGTTCGGCGCCAGGGCTTGATTTATTAAGCAGACCTAGGGTAGTTTTCCTAAGCAATACAACACACGTTCTATTTAAACTTTGATTATTGTGTATGTGACACGTGTGAGCGCAGGCATGCTTATGCCGCATTGTGTGTGCGGAAGCCAGAGGACAACTTTTGGGAGTTGGTTCTTACTGCATCCTGCACAGCATGGTCCAGGGAGTTCGACTGGGTGACAAAGGACAGACAAACGTACAGAAAGACGAACGTACAGAAAATCTGGGATGGTGTGGGCTGTGCCGGCTCTGAGGCACCTACCATTCAGCCTAGAGACTCAGTGAGTTTATGATGTATAGCAAAAGGAGAAGGCATTAGTGCTTCTCAGTAGGAGGTCGCTGTAGGGGGACAGTCTCAGGCTGTAAACATACAGGAGGAAGCAGCTGTGGTCAATACCTCACAGAGTCAACATTCCTACTCAAGCTTTACCATTTCCGAACCTGACAACACACACTCCCGTAGGACATCATCGGCTCTCCAGAGGTTTGCTCCTTTCGCCATTGGTTCTGAAGATCAAACTCAGGTTGTGAAGATCAAACTCAGGTAGTCAGTTTCGCTCATCAAGGGCTTTCACCTACTGAGCCAGTTGTTAACCCATCCCACGTTCCTTTAGAACACGCATGTCTTCTATACCAAGAAAGATGCACAATAACCATGCTTTGGGTTTCAAATGAGTGAGTTTATTAAATACACAGCAAGTAAAAGAAGGAAGCAGCAAGCAGCCGATAAATGGCGGGACATTAGACTGGGAGCTCACAGAATCCAGCAGGGCTGGCACACAGAGGCCGCAGCAGGACTGCTTGTCCAGAAACACAAAGCTGAGCTTAGAGGTTAACTTAGAGCCTAAAAGTAGTTTTTACAAGACAAGAGAGAGGAAAAAACAAACAACACCTAAAACCAAACCAAACCAAAAAACTAGGCATGCAATTAATGTACCCATGAAAGTTTTAGTTTTATTTAACGTACACGAGTGTTTGGGCTGCATGTTAGATACACTGCATTCATGCCTGCTGCCTGGCGAGCTCAGAAGAGGCTATTGGATCGCCTGGAACTGAAGGCTGGTTGCAAGCTGTCATGCAGATGCTAGGCACCAAATCCGGTTCCAAGAGCAGCAAGTGCTCTTAACCATGGAGCTGTCACTCCAGATCCCAAATTTGGGTGTTTGAGACAGGATTTTTTCTGTGTAACAGCCCTGGCTGTCCTGGAACTAGTTCTTGCAGACCAGGCTGGCCTTGAACTCACAGCGCTGACATTAAAGGTGTGTGCCACCACCGCCTGGCTCCAAAATATTTTTTAAGTTAAAAAAAATTAATAAATTTCTGGTAAGTGTGACACAAAAAGATGTAGACACTAAACTGCATTTGGATTAAGAAAGACACAGGGCTGGAGAGAGGCTCAGTGGTTATGAGCACTGGCTGCTCTTCCAGAGGACTGGCTCCATTTCCAGCACCCATATGGTGGTGAATTACTGTCCAGGACTTCAGTTCCAAAGGATCCACCGCCCTCTTCTGGCCTCCAAGGGTACTGCACACACATGGTGCACAGACATACATGCAGGCAAAACACTCATACACATAAAATAAATAAAAAAGAAAGTAGACACAAGCACAGGTATCAAGGACATTTCTAAGTGAAAGTTCAATGCAGAACTTTATAAAGAGAAGTTGAAAATCTTAAGTGAATTTAAAAAACCTTTGAAAGTATTTACAAAATAGACAAGTATTTATCCTGTTTTTCTCTAAAAATTAAATTTGCATTGATTCATTGATTCAAGGGCTATGTCTGACTCAAGGATGGGGAGGTGGCCTACCGAGTCAGGACTAGGATGGTCCTATCTGCTCCCTCACAAAAATCTATACGCTAATTACATCCCCCCAAGCAAACCCTCAGGCAACTTTAAAACATTGTTTGAAGATTCTAAAGCTTACCCCCAAAAAGTAAGTGTTAGAAATTAAAGTTTCTTTTGAAATAGGAAAGTGGATTTGCCTGAATAACAGGCAAACCGCACACCCATGTATGGCCTCAGACACCCTGGTGATTAGCTATCCTGGTGAATAACAGGCAAACCGCACACCCGTGTACGGCCTCAGACACCCTGGTGATTAGCTATCCTGGTGGACCGCCTGCCCACTGTGCTATGGTAACACATCACCGCACTTCAGACGCCTGTCTTTCAGAATCAACGACATGGGCCAAGTTTTACTTTCTTCAGGAGAGTACAGAGGGTAAAGTCTTGTCTTCTTCAGTGGCAGTGGCTGCCTGCAGTCCTTGGCTTGGGGCCCCATTCTTCAAGGTGCAAAGCCAGAGGGCTCTGCTGAGTTTCTCATTCTGCTACTCTCAAGCCTCCTCCCTCACCTCCCTTTTCCACATTTACCAGTCCTCGTGATTACTCTAGGATCTCCTGGGTAATCCGGAGTAAGCACCCTGGGCATCTGTAACCTTAGTGCCCCTTGCCATTTGTTGGTAACCATCCTCACGGGTTGTTTTATTATGTAGCTCAGGGTGATCTGAACTCACCAGCCTCCTGTCTAGCTTGGGATTCTTTCATCACGCCTGAAAGAGTGCACACTACTTTTATAAAGTTAGATGCACACAACAGACATCATTTTAATGAGACTAGACACTTGTAACAGAAAATGGAATGTTGCAAGGCCAGGCAGTCTACAAATGGAATATTCCAGAAGAACTGGCTATCAAGACAGAATACGAATGGAGCTATAACGTTAGATAAAGGTGTATTTCAAGCTATGAAGGAAAAAGGAAAGACAGTTCACAAGAGGAGGCTGCAGAGGTCGCTGCAAATCAAAGACTTGGGTTTTCATCCATTCCAAATATACTGAACATCAATACGATAAAAACGCAAAAGAAATTAATAGTGTGGAAAACTATACAGGAAAATGTGCTTGTACCCCTATGGTTATAAGGTTTTCTTTTATCTCAGTCCACAAAGCAAATCTCGGTAATGTTAACATAAAATGAAAATAAAGGCAACAGACTGAAATCTTTTGAAGGAAGACATGATTATCTGTATTAGGGCCATCCAAGCCACAGCCTGTAAGCCCAGCTACGGTGTGACTGAGGCAGGAGGGGCTCCAGTTTCCAAGTCTGAGTGACTGTGTGAGATCCTGTCTCAAGAGAAAGCAAAAGCTCAGTGGTAGAGCACTTTCCTGCTCTGAAAAACAGGAGGCAGCCATGATCCATTAAGGTCTTTGTGTAGCCTGACAGGGCCATGAGACTATAATAAAATGAGACAGGACATGAACAGGCACAGAGACTGGCTAACGGCATACTCTGGTGACCTTGAGGAGTTTAACCCTATTGAGCCTCCAGTATCCCTACATAAAATAGGGCTAATAATACACTTTAACTCTTTCTTGTTAGTTTGGGTTTTTTTTTCTAGACAGGGTTTCTTTGTGTGACCCTGGATGTCCTAGAACTAGCTCTGTAGACCAGGCAAGCCTCGAACTCACAGAGATCTGCCTACCTTTGCCTCCTGAGTGCTGGATTAGAGGTGTGTGCTACCACCACCCAGCTATACATTAACTTTTACTTAGGGTAAAGATGAAATGAGTTACTAAATGTATTTTTAATGATGCCTGGCACAGAGTAACAGTTCAGTCCATGATGGTTCACATGTTCTGTGATACATGCTCAAAGCCCTGTGCCCATCCATGCTCATTCACATGCTTAGGAAGATGTTCAGCATAGCATCATTTGCTATGGCAAAACTGAATTACTTTGAATGATACTGAACCAACAGATAAGTGCATTTTTGTACCTGCACAATGCTGTGGATAATGGTCTGTATCCTGTCACTTGTATTTTTAAATAAACACTGATTGGCCAGTAGCCAGGCAGGAAGTAGGGGTGGGGTGATCAGGCAGGAAGTAGAGGCAGGGCAACAAGAATTCTGGGAAGAGAGAAGTTTCAGTCTGCCGTTATTACCCAGACACAGAAGCAATAAGATGTGACAGCCTCGCCAAAAAAGGCACCAAGCCACGTGACTAACACAGACAAGAATTAAAGGTTAATATAAGTTATAAGAATTAATAAGAAGCCTGAGATACTAGACCAAGCAGTTTATAATTAATGTAGATCTCTGTGTATTTCTTTGGGGCTAAACAGCTGTGGCACCTGGTGGGACAGAAGCCTCTGTCAAGAGCACAATATGGACTCATTGTTAAAAGCACTCACATAAGGCTATTAAGATGGTTCAGTGAGTAAAGAGGTTTCTTGCCAAGCCTGACTACCGAAGTTTGATCACTGGGATCTCCACAGTTAGAAGAGAGAACTCCTGCAAGTTGTCCTTTGATCAAAACACACGCACATGAGCACACACACACTTTGGTACCTGACCACCATCCCCAAATAAATGTAACAAAATTTTAAAACATCATGCATGATCTAGGGCACCAATATTATCTATAAACACAGACCAACATGTGCTTTTGTATAATATGCTCAGAGCATGTTGGCTAGGTGGACTAGCTGATCATTGAGTTTAGGTTCATCAGAGATCTGCCTCGATAAATACAGCAGGAAGTGACGTGAGAAGACATCTGATGTAAGCTGTCAATCTCTGGCCTACACACACAGACACACACACACACACACACACAGACACACAGACAGACACACACACAGACACACAGACACACACACAGACACACACACACACACACCCCATATGCATGCAAAAAGCAAAACAAATAAAAAAAAAAAACTTAACAAAGGAGACCACCAGGCAGGGAGACAGGGCTGAAGGCAGGTCTAAGGAAGACTTTATCAAATGAAGTTTTTTTTTTTTTAAGTAAACATGCATTGTTTTGAAAAAAATGTTTAAGAATGGATACAAAATCATGATTACTCAGAATAATTCAAAACAGACATAGGAACAATGGAAAATCAAAAGGAAGTTGTGACATTATTTATCTTATGGCTTTTATTTTCCTAGAAATGAAAAAGGCAAAGGAACCAAACTTTCTAAGACTGTCAGCTTAGCCATGGGCTCTCAAGTTCTTTAAATGTGGCCTAAGAATGTCAAAATCTGACGTTTTCAATGAGAAACATTCTACAATAAGTGTCTCAATCCCTTGTTTCCACTGCGTATCATATTTTGGAAGCTCTGCCTCCCTGGGAAGGTAATGTTTGCAAATTTAAAACACGACCCTTCAATATTACTTAGCTGACATAAACAAATTAAAATAAGGCCAGCCTAAGCCAGTTGTGTTTACCAACCTGATCCCCTCTGAAAATGAGAGGTGAAGTCAAATACCCTTTAATACTATTTATTAGTGGAGTAATAGAATACATTCTGACAAGCTGAGCAGCTTTGACAGGCAGCTGTTAAAGTCTCTACAGAGCCTGTTTAGAACGAAACAGGAGCGAGAGACAGTGCTGTAACTGGTTCTGTGAACAGCTCAGCCATCAACTATATCCTAACCAAGTACTTTTTATCCAGCTAATTTACGGAGCGAATCCCTCAGGGTCTCCAGCGTCTACACTGCAGCTCATTAGAGCCCAATAGCCAACTTTTTCTCATTGTAGCACAGAAAGCATGTGTGCTTAAAATATAATTAAATGGAAAACAAATAAGATCCTTATTCCCTGACAGTCTCAGTATTTTTAAATTGACAAAGGCACGAACTTATATGCGATTATTTAGAAAGCAGGATGAATTTCAGGCACTTATGGCAAGACATTTGCCCGACCACTCATCCTGCATGCAATTAGGACGCTAAAGACTTGGGCTACGAGTTCCTCGTGGGAATTAAACTTGCAGGTCTCTTACAAACGCATAATGTGGTAAGACTTGCTGTCCAATGAGGTGTCTTATTGAAATGTCCCAGGCCGTTTCGCTTGTCACAGCTGTCCTTTCAGCCGCTTGCACTCACAGTGTATAGCTTTCATTACGAAAATAGAAATTTGTGTCCTAAGTGCTGTTACATTACTAATGCTAAATATTTAATTCCCTGGGGTTCCAATTATGGTTGAGCGCTGGCAACACTGATTCCGCTTTCTAATAACAACTGTAAAGGCAATTGGAGCATTTTTCAATTAATTAAATACATAGTGAACGAGTAACCTCTTGTCATTTTGCCCTCCAGGACCTGAGCTAATTGCTGTAGAATAAAATGTTTTGAAAATTAACTGATATTCAGGGCTGCACACAGTTATACCATTAAGTTACAGTTTGCACAGTGAAGTTTGTCTTCTGATAGTTACACTCCATGGTCTGCAGTTGTGAGAAAGTACCTGGTATTATGGACTTATGGGCTTAGCAGGGCCTCCAATTAGGGCCAAGTTGAAAGCAGGCATGGCCTTTCAGAACCCATCAGTATCAATGATAGTTTGCACTGCTCACAGAAAAGGAACGGATTTCCACAAGGCAAGTTCTCCAGACTTCACGACAAATATCAACATTCTGGAGTGTCCTCAAAAGAATCCCTAACACTAATTATATTCACACACAAAAATTCAAAACTCAAGTTTTCAATTTTGTATTTTCCCACCTGAGAAAGTTGCTAATTAAATGTCTGGGAAAGGCCACTTTCTTGAAATATTTTCTTGCAGTTTCTCGTTTTACCCTAAAACAACATCATAAATAAGCCCCAAATTGATGTCTAAGCTGAGAAGGATGAATCATAAAAGCAGACGCCACATTTAAAATAAACCTTTTTCTGAAGTACAATGAAATTCGATTAAAGAGCTGGTCTCCTTGCAGCAACCGCCGCTGACAGGTGTTCCTTAGCTCCGGCCTTTGATTGGTCATAATCTGAAATCCATGCTGGGAAGCGATGCCCCTTGCAGCTGTCTGTCTAGAGGGGATGATCCCCTAAACAGGCTTCACAGAATTCGTCTCTGCAGAAGCACTTCGGCTCGGGTAGAAGGCACTGAAAGGGAAATTAATCACTCTGGGAGAGAGGGAAGAAATAATAGAGAAAATTTAATCATTTCCATACCAATCTTTAGGGTTTAAATCTTTAATATTTCTAAGATTATAGTAACATCTTTGAGAAATGAATCTTAATTACAGGATTAGCATGGAAGTACCAGTCAGTTAATATAAATAGATCAGCCTAAATTGCTGATCTCTTTTAGACTAAAGTGGATAATGAGGACTTTTTAGAATTCTGAGGTTGAGTTGACTTCTCAAGAACTAATGCCAAGATCATTGGAAAATACACATGGCCATAGAAAAGAAAAATATAAATTCTTTGAAGATTATTGAAATATTAATCCATATGGCATGTAACATCTTAATAGACTCTTGCTTGATATATTCTGTCATTAACAATTCCTTTTGCTGTTGGGGGAATCATTAACCATTGTTAACATGATAAACCACTGAATTCATAAATGAGGACCTGTTGAGATGGGTCATTGGGTAAAGGCACTTGCTGCCATGCCTGATAACCTGGGTTCAGTCCCTGGAACCCAAACAGTGGCAGGTGAGAACTGGCTCCCATAAGTTGCTCTACATTCCTGTCATGGCATGCATACATGCATACACATGAACACAAATAAATACTATCAAGTCCTGATAAACAAATAATTATTTGCCAAAGGTGCTGATTTTTCCAAACTCTCAAAACTATATTTTTAAACAGAAAAGTAAAGAGAATTTGCACTTTCAATGTAAGTTGTTGAGTTACTGTTTGTATTGAGAAATATATCAGGAACCGGGATGCAGCTCAGTGAGTTCCTGCCTAGTATGTATGAGGCCTTAGGCCCAATGCCCAGCATTGAGGATAAGAAAAGAAGAAACAGATTGAATTTTATTCCCAAATGCTCATGTTCCCAGTTTTGAAAAACAGTAATTTTATTAACTGACTAATAGCATTTGGCTAAGGCTGAGTGTGCTGGCATATACCTATGATTCTAGTATTTGGGAGATGGAGACAGAAGGTTCTCAAATTAAAGGTCAGCCTGGACTATACAAGGAAATGCTCTCTCAAAACAACAAATAAGCAAATATATGGCCCAAAAAAATTAAACAAACACCTGGTTTTCTAAAAACACTGTGACTACAGTAACCATTACAGATAGCATATTTAGTACCAATGTTCCCAAGTTACTGGGCCTGGCTAGCCAGTTGGAATCAGTCATTAGATCCCACATGAACAGTTTTCATCACTGTCCAGCCACATCTCCCCTTGGGATCACATGCCCTTGGATCGAGTTCCCTCTCTCTCCTCCCTCCATGTGACCTAGCATACCACATGTGCAGAGGGTTTGGCAGCCCAATCTACACAGTCGTAACTAGGTCTCACTTGTTATTCAACCACTCTTGTATTTTTGAGTAGTAAACAAACCCCATGGGCCTTGAAAGCAGAGGATCCAGGTCCACCTGAAGCTGCTAACTATGGTTTGACTTGGTGCCAATCTCTTGATGTTTAGGCTCCTCTGGTCTCCCAGTTCAGAAAATGAGACAGTTTAACTCCTCAGTGTCTGAAGACTTGAGGAGACAAGTCGCCAAAGACTCTAGAGCAGGTGAAAAGGAGGAGGTGAAAAGGAGGAGGCCTAAAAGTCCTGAAGCTTCCAACCTAAGGGTTACCTTCTGGCATACCCTACAAAGCTTTCCATGATGATCATATCAGGAACAGGATGGGGCATATGCATCCATGCACAGCAGAGAGGCAAATCAGAGCCTTGCAAGAGACTTTTAAGAATTAAACCTTTGCCTTTAGTCCCAAAAGAGTACAAGGTAGAAGAAGGTCTGCCTGGGATTTGTAAGTGAAGGCCGAGAGCTGAGGATGTGCTCACTGGTAAAGGGCCTGCCTAGCATGCACAAGGTACTCCATTCCATCACCAGACCCACAAAGAAAGATAATGGAGAATTGGCAAGACAAAAAAGGCATTGTTTAAATCACTGAACTTTTGATACAGCTTGTTTCAAAACTGACTTTCTTATTCTAGCGTGTGTTCAACTAGCCCCATGCCTGAGGCTTAAATCTCAGAATTCCCCTCCCCCGGCTAGAATGAGTCCTGCAGGAGGCTATGGAACTTCAAGACTTGAAAGGTGGAGCCAGTACAATTTCCCATCCTGGCCCTTGAGTGGTCAAAACAAAACAACAAAACTCACAGAACTGAATGCTGGTCTTTAATGAGTGCTTCCAAGTGACCATTTCACACCAGAATTAGTTCTAGTACCTGGTCTCCATGTTCACAAAGTCCAGGGCCCAGGAGCTCTAAGGCAGGGCCAGGAGAAATATCCCTGGAAGCAATGGAGGGCAAAGAAGCAGTTTAAGAAGTGTCAGAAAGAACTAAAACAAAAATAATACCAAGTCCTCTAAGGAGAACCAAGTGTTATAGTCCAGCTTGCACTGATGTCAGCACCAACATTTTGTGAGACCCCACCCATTATTTCAGAGGTAGATAGGCTCCCTTGGCAAGATCTCCAATACCAGCAACACCTGTTAATTCTTAAGACTTGGCTATCCTGCAAAGCTCTCTCCGAGGGCTGCAGATCATAGCGGTTTGGGAGTACTTAGATAGTTTTATGGTTAATGCACTGCAGTATAAATAAATATAGCTTAGTGTAAGCATCTCTGCTGAAAATATGTATGCCATAAAGTGACAAATAAAATAGGTCAATAACTAAGCCCATAGTAAATAGCTCAGGTAAAACATTAGCATGAACCAGCCTTCTTCAGAACTGATGATAAATTCTTCATAGTAAAATTTCAAAATAAAAAGCTCAATGTGAATTTACATATATTCCACTTCATGTAAGAAGAGGTTTTAGGAAAACACAGTGCATTCATTTGTGTGCTCGGCTAACAGCCTGCACTGCTCTGGCTCAGTGTGCTATCACAAAGACACAGCAGGTGCCTAAAAAACTGTCCCTGATCACAGCTGTAATTTACAGGTCTTGAATGGCAGGTAAGCACAGGAGAAGCATCCAGCTGTTGTCAACTTTTTTGGGGGGATGTTTAAAGTGAAAGCAAGGGTTTGAAGTGTGTACTGTACTCTGACTTTGATGGCAGTGGGGCAAAGGCTACCCGGTAATAGTGTCTTGTTTTGGTTGAGTTTAAGAGACATCGCTGATCTGCGGATACTTGGAGTAGGTGATGGGACTGTAGGATACCTCTGTTCAACACCAAGTACATTCTGAGAACCCCCAGCTCTCCTTCCCGAGCACCCCACACAGTTCATCCTTAACCTTGGACCTTTAGGACAAATCTTCATTTCCGTGACTCTCTTCCACACTCCCGTCTTCAAGGTGGCAACACTGCTGGAGTTCACTGCTTTGTCTTGAGGCTTTAATGTGCTGTTAGATTCCTGTCACTGTAATGAGATCCCAGAGAAAGGAACTTACAAGGAGAAGGTGCTTATTTGGGCTCATGGTTTTAGAGGTTAAGTCCTGAGGAGTGGGCTGATTCACTGCCTTGGGTCACAGCAGGAGGGCGCAATGGAGGCAGACTTCTTACACTGCTAGCTAGCCAGGGAACAAAGAAGAGACCAGAGTTTCACAAAACCCTTTGAGGTCACAACACTGATGGCCTCTAGGCCCTAATCCTCTCAGGTTCTAGGACCATCTTGAGGGCCAATCTTTTAGAACGGGCCTTTGGAGAACATTTCAAATCCAAACTGCAGAAACTGTGCAGAGATTTTCATACATCACAGAACCATAAACTAGGGCAAAGAGGAATGTTAAATTACAAGTCTCTAAATGGTTTGTTTTGTTCCTACTTTTCTTCTTTTGTCACAAGTTCATTTTTTTTAAGTTGCTTTGTAGTTCTCAGTTTGGCATATAAAGAACTTAGAGTCACCCCTGAGAAGCAAACACTGACCAATTTGAAAAAAATCAATGACTTCTATTCAATCTGAGGTCCCAGAGAAAAATGCTAACCCCAAATCTGGAGATAGTCAGGTACATATAGAGAATGACTATTCATAGCCGAGATCCCTGGGAAACAGGCCCACACTAGGAAAACCCAGGCTAGCATTGGCTAGAGTCTTGCATTCAAATCTGGCCATAAGAACTGGGAGTGCACAGGCAGCTGGAGCCCCACACTGCTGAGATGTCTCTCCTTGAGCTTCGTCAAACTCCAGGGACTGGAGATAAATTTTCCTTGGGCTTCTGGCAGGGGAAGAGAAAGTAAGCACTGTGAAATATGCCAGAACATTCTATTCCTTTCTGTTCCTACTAAGATCTGCCAGTAGAAGAGAGTCTCAGCCTAGTCTAACCTGCAAAGTTCCCTCTGTCAGAGACCAGCTGACCCCAGTGTCAGGCGCATCTGAGCTCCTACAACACCCAGCTCTGGCCATCTCTGGCCCACTGAGCAGATAAGGTGCGGAGCTGAAGGCTCCCTGAAGGCTGCAGTGTGCTTCCCCTCCTCTCTGCACATCCCGAAGGCTGCAGTTCATGCTACCCTGCTCTTTGCCTCAGCCGTCAGGAGGAATTACATAGCAGAGCACAGTAAGGAGCAAAAGCACACGTTGAACAGCTAGGGCTGAGGCCAGATGAGGCAGCAAGGCAGACATTTAAAGCTAAAACTACCATGACTTGAGCGAGTCTGTCACCTCCAAAGCCCTTGTGTTGGAAACTCAGCTCTTGATGCAACAGCATTTGGAGGTGTATCTGAATGGGAAGATGCAGTGAATGGATTAATGCTGCTATAAAAAGAGCTTGAAGGAGTGGGTTCCCCTTCTCCCTCTCTGCCTTGTGAGGACAGGGCATGAAAGCCTTCACCGGCCTCCAGAACTATGGAAGTAAATCCTCTTCCTTCCAATTACTCATCCTGTTGCCCTGTTATAGCAACACAGGTCAACTAAGATGCTGCACAGAAAACAACTCCAATGGAGAAAGAAGAGGGTGTGTGAGGACAGAAGAGAAATGCAAGCAGAGAGGAAATTTCAAAAGGGAACAAAATACAGAAGCCAGAGATGCCACAGAAATGAAGGTGCTTCACTGTGTGTATCAGACTGAGAAAAGCCTCTTGGAGCAAGAAGATACTGTGATATAAACTGCCAAAACTGAAGCCCATGGAAAAATGAGTAAGAAACAAATAAAAAACCAATCAATGAATCCCAACACCCAGAAGACAGAGTTAGGTGGGTCTCTATGAGTTTTAGACCAGACAGTATAACATAGTGAGACCATGTCTACAAAAAAAGGGGGGGGAAGCTAAAAGGAATACTACAAAGACTATAGAGAAGATGTACAGACATGGAGAGATGTATAGGTAAGAAACTTGGATCTACAGATTTTAAAAAAGGAAGACTATTGGGAAGGAGAAAATGAGGATGACAAGACAGATGGCACTGTTACAACAGTGACTTGATGCCAGGTTACCAGGGCAGGAGAGATGCCTCAAGTCACAGTGAGAGCTGAAGAAGAAGTGGCTCAGGAAGGAGACAGAGGGAGGCAGTCAAAATTACACACCTATGCCCAGGCAATGGAGAGCGCCAAGGCGAGGGCAGTGTGCCGGGGCAAGCATCCTTGAGGACCACGATGGAGCCAGCACAGGAGCCAGAGACATTGTGTGGTGTGCACACAGAGGTGAGCGGGATGAGAAGTGTAGACCACACGCTGTCAGAGCTCCTTGGACTGCTAAACAAGCGATGGCACAGGAGCTCAGATGAGATCATGGAGACGGCGGGAGGAAGACACGTCCACGGCCTCCCAGAAGGCAGAAAGCTAAGGAGGTGAACATTCCCATGCAGCAGAGAATACGCAGGGCTAGAGGGGTTAAATCAGACTGGGAGGGATTGTTTATAAGTGAATGGAGTATTTTAACAAATAGAAGGTAAGCGGGAAATTAGGGTAAAACAAGTGATTGGCTGACCAGAAGGGAACCCATTTCAATAAAAATGTGCCACAGCTGTGGAGCTACAGGAATCAATATTATTACTAAATATAAAATCAGGATATAAATCTGATATTTTTATATAAATATAAAATCCTAATTTTAGTGTATTTTATAACCACTCTAAGTCATATAAATTTAAAAACAACCCAGCCATTCTGAAGACACAGACTTACAATCCCAGATAATAAAAGGCTGCGTTGAGGCAGAAGGACTGCAAGCTCCAGGACAGCCTGAGAACGCTGTGTCAAACTTTAAAAGGGAAAAAGAGGGCTGGGACTTTATCCTAGTGGCAGAGAGCTTGCCTAGCATATACTAGGGAGGGGAGGTTCAAATTCTTCTAAGGGACCTATACTACATCAAATTAATGATGTTTAGCAAAGGCTCTCAAGCATTCCCTTCTGACCTGTACTTACAAAATAGTGATATGTACACACTTATAAATTTTTTTTAATTCAAGACAGGCTCCTCACCATGTAGCTCTGGCTGAACTGGAACTCACTTTGTAAAGCAAGGTCAGATCTGCATGCTTCTGCCTTCTGCTGGGATTAAAGGTGCGCACCACCATGCCCAACCCAAAGCAATTTATTAATAAGGACATTGGCTCAATATAGTCTTACCAAGTAGTCACACTCTAGCTTTCATGAGTGATTTTGGTTTTAATTTTGAATCTCTTCTCAAAGAACTTTACATTTCTTTGCTACTTTAAGTCTATAATGAAGTACAATTTGAAATATACTACAGTTTTACAGATTAGGTACTTAAGATACCAGTCAAGTACAAAACATTCCTTACCAAATAGCAAAGGGAAGAAACAGATTGAGATTCTTGCCAGCCCCAGTTTTAGAAGGAATAGCTGCTATCTGATTTGCTCTCAGACCCATGCTCTTCTTCTTCACTGTGGTCTGGGGAGGGAGCTCAGGGCCTCAAAGAGGCTAGGCAAATGCCTACTATATTGTGTAGTGGTATTTCATGTGTATTTTAATAAATAAAGCTTACCTAAAGATCTGAGAGTAAAACAGCCCCACTGGCCAGTCTTGCAGACCAGGTAGTGGTAACACACACCTTTAATCCCAGTAGCCAAACTAATTCGCCATAGAAATCAGGCGGTTCATGTTTTTAATCCCAATGGTGCACATCTTTAATCCCAGCCCTAGAGAGGATTATAAAATGGGAGGAGACAGCTCTCAGTCGCAATCTAATTCTGAGATTCCTGGAGGCAGGATCACCATTTTGGACTGAGGTGGAGGTAAGAGCCAGTAACTGGCTGCTTTGCTTTTCAGATCTTCAGGTTGACCTCAAAGTCAGTCCCTGAGCTTTTATTAACTGCTTCAGCATTGTTCCACCTCAGGCTCATAAACCCAAATCTATAATTTCTTTAAAGAAGGACACCTCATTTCTGGTGAGTCCAGAAAAACACCAGGAGCTGTTAAATAGACTGCAGTCTGGGCAGACGCTTTGATGCTTCAAGAAATTCTAGCTAGACCTGATCTCACTCTGGTAACCTGCATCCTTACTCTAGTTTGTGTCCCTCTTTGCAATGGCTGTCCTGCCTCTCCATGTCATGTGCATCTCCTTCAGAACACAAGCCTGACTGGCTCTTGGTCTCTTTATATCCAACACTGCTTCACTGCATCCGTCATTACCAGTGTCTGTGTGCTCTGAATTCTGAGTTCCAATAATGCAGCACTGTGTGGGTTCCTCATTTCTTCTGACTTTTCCTCATCTACACACTGCAGTCTAGAAGCATGAGCCAGGGACGGGACACTGTGATGTCTTTTCTATTGTTAGAGTCCCAGAGACTCAAAGTACTATGACACAGGATAGACAACTCCAACACATTTTTCCCAAACCAATGACTGCACTAGCTTTAAAAGGTTTGTGTGGGAATCTCACCTTTTAGCTTCTCATTTACTAGAGTAAGGAACATTTAATTATCTTATTCTTTTCCCATAATGGTGGCTTTGACCACATTAGCCCAAGATAAAGCCACTGAAAGACAGGGGTAGTCTAAATCTGGTTCCTCACTTATTAAAGTTAGAGGTTTATAATCTGGACTATAGGAGGGGGTCACTAGGTTCAATTAATTACATCCAATGTTTCTTAGAAAGAAAAAGATTGGGCTGAGCGTGGTGATGCATGCCTTAAATCCCAGCACTCTGGAGGGGAAGGCAGGCAGAGTTCTAGGCCAGTCTGGTCTCGAGTGAGTTTAAGAACCAGGACAGCCAGGTGTCATATTATTATATTTTATGTAAGGAATGACATTTTAAAAAAGAAAATCAGAACAACAATCACTCCTTAAAACTCCTTTCCATGGGTCTTCCCAAAATATCACATATGGCTTTGCAAGACATTATCATGTCTTAGTAAGTAAAATTTAACTCAGTTAAATTTAAATAATTCCCAGAAGGGCTAGTGGGAATGACAGCTTTTTTTCCCATTAAGAACTGTGTAAAGTAGCTACATTATTTAGGG